GCCTAGAGTTGAATCTAGTTCATGCATTTTTATACTTTACATGTTTTTTTTGTTCAGTTTCAGGGAAAAGACTTTTTACCAATTTTATAGTTACCTTGTAAATCCAATTGTACAATTCCCTCGTGATTGAGTAAAAGGGTGATCAAGATTCAACTTTGCCGACCGCTTTCGCTTCAATACATCAAATGCTTTATTGGTTGCTTTTACAACCAATGTTCACTTTGAGTTGAATGGTTTTGCATTTTATTGTTTTAAAAGTTGACCTTTTCTCGTTTCTGTTCAATTCTTGTTTCGGTGTTTTATTAAACTCTTGATTGTTTAAATTTAAACATTTTATTCCTTTCTTTGTTCAACTGTTATTGATTTGCCTGTTTACCCTTCAGGCAAAAGAAGCCAGAATTTTGGGTAAAAAAAAGTTCAATTGTAAATGTTAAATAACAGTTTTGCTTCTTTACTGTTTTCGCTATTAATGATTTGCCAATTGGTTTGGTTCAAGTTAATTTGATTAAATGGTAAAAAGGGTTGAAAGATGAATCACCAAAAGACAAATTGTTGCCACACTTTGATCATTAATTATCATGTTGAATCATGAAAGGTTGTAATTAAGAGAAAAGCAGCTTTTCTTGAACATTGGTGTTGAAGCGACTCTCAACAACGGTTAACGGCATTCAACTGTCCAGTTTTTGGGAAATTGATTAAACTTTTTTTCTTGGTTCTTCCAAATGCTTTCAACTTGTGATACTTTGCCATCATTAAATGTTGTCTCATGTTGCCTTAAATCATAATTGGTGGATCAAAATATTTTTTGTTTTATAAATCAATCGTTTCATCTGCTCTTTAGGTAATTAAGCTTGCGTTAAAATGGTGTTAATCAAGAAAAGGTAAAGGGAAGGGAAAAATGTTTCAAATTTTGCATCATTTTTCATTTCATTTTTTGCCTCTCTCATTGACAGTTTATCTTCATCCTTTACTGAGTAATATTTTGACAAACATAATTGATCCTTTAATTGGGACTCATTTTCTCATCATTACATCTCATGAGATGAATGGTGCAAAAATGATCTTTTGGCAAGTCTGCTTTGCTGGTTTGGAGGAAAATAAATTTGATGGAAAATTCATTAAAGATTCGACATGAGTATATGAAATGTTCCAGTCACAAATGAAATGGTTACCAAGTTTGTAGTTGACTGGATGAGTCTTGCGCTCTCAGACAGGTTAACAGTTCATTGAATTTCGTTCCATGGACTATTTCAAGTTGAATTCAATTTTTTACTTTTTACTCATTTGCTGTTTTGACCCATTACCGTCTATGCATCAAAGCCTAAAGACTTGAAAGAGCTACAAAAATCAGTACAGGAATCTTCCAAAAGCATCACTCGACAAACGTGTCAAAACGTTATAAATTGGCTCGAATGCCTCAAACAAAGTACTGGTGGTCACTTTGAAAACATAACACTTGGATTATTTTGATCTGAACATGTATGTAGCTTCAGGTTTTCGTAGAAAAAGTTGTGTCAAAGTAGTTCGCTTTCCATTTGTCACGTTGTTTGTTATGATATTAAGATGTTAATGTTTCATGTAGAAGTCATTTCAAGTAAACTTTAGGCTATTTTAAACACCAATAAATTATAAATAATCGTGCTCTAACTATTGATGAATTGAGCTTGCAACGCAAACGGAGACAGGTCGTTTTAGTCTGTCACTAAGAATCGTAGCTTGAGCTGTTCTCGAATGGAAAATATCGATTTCTAAAGTTGATTAAAAGAAATGTTGTTATCAAATTGACCCATGAAGAGTGAGGTAAAATAATGAATTCTAGTTTCTGCCTTTTCTTCTTTACCGCATCTTGTTGAACAGTTGAAGTTGAATATCAATGGCCAGCAATGGGCAGTGATGGAGATTAAATGATGCCAATGATGAGCAAAGCTAGCCTGAGAAAAGGTTACTTGAAGATCATTATTGTTTGATGATGATAAGCAAATAGGAGTAAAAGATGAAGTTTAAGAAGAAGAGGAAAAGTAGAAGGAAATTGATTCTCAATGATTGAACAAAGCCTTTTTGTCATTATTATCATTATCAAAATGATGACGGTCATCATCACCATCATTATCATGATTGTCTAGATCAACATTATTTTCAATATTGTTGAAGGACTAAGTTGCCTTTTGGGATCGTAAAGTGCAAAATTAAACATTAAACCTTTAACCATCTTTTCAAGTCCATGTCATTTAGATTATTAACTCTTCAGGAACCATTTATGATTAATGTTTTCTTTTTTTTTTGACCAAAAATGTTTTCCCTTTTGCTCAACATGAATCCGCTCAGAAATTAAACACAAGCAATAAAAAGCCTTAAAAACTAAACTTGTTTGGATTATCATTTTAGCTTTAATACTGTTTCGTTTTTGGCCGGATAAATCAGCCAATAAATAACATTATTTAGCTTGTAAAACATTTGCATTTCATTTCTTTATATCGTATAATATACACTTTTATGGGCATCACTTGAGTTATAATACGTTCAGTTGAATATGTTTTTTTATTCATCTCATTAAATAATCAACTCAATCAAAAGCATTTCAAATCCATTTGGCGAATTAAAAAGTCAAGGAAAAAGAGCGATCGATAATTTCCTCATTCTTCTCCCAAGAAGCTCAGACTTTTCGAGGAAAGTGAATAAACTTTCTCTACAAAATTATTCGAAAGAATCAAAAATTCGAAAAAGAAAATTGAAATTTTTCGAACCCAAAATCAACCTTTATCGATATCATGTGCGAAAATTTTGTAGAGAAATTTGATTTTTTTTCGATTTTTTAGGAACTTTTCTGACACGTTGGCACGTTAGAATAAGAATATTGAATGATGAGAAATTCATTGATGATGAGGTTTGGAATGAAATTTGAGTGGACGAGTTTCGAAGTTGAATGAATCACGATTTTAGAGTAAAATGTTTATCGACTGAAGTATGTTTGGACTGGACTATTGAGATAAGTTGATTCGTTATTTATTGGTGGATGGATGCAAGTTGATCAAGTAATGAATATAAATGTTGATTGCAATCGTGATCCATGTAATTGCAATCAAAACAGTTTATGGACCATCAAATGGAATGCAATTGTCAAATCAATTAGGATTGTTAAGCGGCCTAAAATCAAGTGAATACCTTTTTTGTTTGCGCTTTTTTCTGGTTCCTCTTTTTTTGTTGCAATTTGTTTCTGTTTCACAATAAGTTGCAAAGGTTTTCAAGTTGATCATGTTTGATCAATGCAGAGTCACACTTTGACCCAATTTACATTGTGATTGACAATGATTTACAGAGAGCAACTTGAGCGCGTGACTCGAAGGAAAGGATAAAAGATAAAGGCAACAATAAAAAGCACAACAAGAAGGAAAAATAAGGAAACAAATGAACATCAAAATCTTGCAGCAGAAACTCATAACTTGGGCTGCAAACGGCAAGCCTTCAGTTAAAGAGTTACATAAGGTTGATGTAATGAAAAGACAAGGGAACAAGCTTGAAACGGAAAGAGAAGAGAAAAAGCTCGACTTTTCTCTTTGAAGGTGATGTTGATTACATTAAAGCTAAAAGGATTGTAATGACAATAAAACACAATCTGTTGATAAACATGAGACTGAAAAGAGTAATAATAAAACCCCTTTTTTCCCTCTTCTCCCAATTGCTTTCCTCATCATTTTTCCTGCAACCTCATCTTCACTATCTTTACCATCATCAGTGCACATTGCCTCAGTTATTCAACAGTTTTCAGCTGAACAAAAAGGTGAAAGCTGACTCGATGAAACTTGAAGCAAAAGGACAAAATTACAGTTAAAAAGTTGCCCAAAAAGTGATAAAGCTTTATGAGCAAAGAGAGAAAGAAAAGTTATAAAAATGTTTTTGTATCGCATTTGAAGGTTGCTCAACTAATCAAATTGATTGATCTTCATCTTCATCAATCTAGCTTCATCATTGTGGCCTTCATCATTATCATCATTGATAACAATTTAACAGTAAACAGTGTTAAAAGCATTTTATGGTTCCTTTCAATTTATATAAATACTCGGCACACTCTTTAATCAATTGATTGGTCCGTAAAAAAAAGACGAAGAGAAATTAGAAAAACATAAAAAAGTTTTACTTTTCCAGCCTACCATTTGTCAATCAACTAACACGGTGGTTACACTGTGAAATGAATCTCATGAGATTATCATTATTCAACTGTTGAAAGTTATTTGTTGGCAGTTTTATTCATGATAATAAATGAGACGAAACTTGTCAACAATTGAATAGCATTTAATAGGGAAAAGGTTTAAATATTGAAACACGAAGAGCGAAAGAAGAAGAAGAAGCAAAATGAACAAATTCATCAAGTTAATTAAAATGAGGCAAAGGCTTAATTAACCAAGTTTAATTGAAGCAAACTCAAGATTGGATGATTGAGAATGAAAAATTGTTGCTCAAAAGGCAGTGTTTATAAAAGGTAAAAGTAAAAAGGTAAAAAAATGAATTCCATTGATTAATAACCCTTTTCAGTGTAAGCAAAGAGAAGCTCAGAAATTGGGAAAAATGCGCGAAACAGGTTAACAGTTTGATTAACAAGTTTCCATCATTTAATGGCAATTGTTATTTTTGTGTGAAAAACTGTTTCACAGTCAATCCGTAAAACCAACAAACCATTTGGATTGTTGTTGTTGATTTGCAATCCTTAACAATAGAGAGAGTAAAGAGAGAGATTTGCTCTGAATGAGTGGGAGTTGCATAGTTGAACCCTATAAAAAGGCAAAGGCAAAGGCAAAGTGTCATGCCCTGGGCAATCCATCAAGTCAATAGTTTCCTTCCTCAACACAATCAACCGCATCTTTTCATTGAGCAACCACAATAAAGATTGGAGAAGCAAAAAAAGATAAACACTTTTATATAAATAAATAAACGGATAAACTAGCATTCAGATTGAACATTGGATAGAACTGATAATTTGACTGGGAGTCATGATGAGCATTTACCTTGCATTTTCCATCCATTTGATTCCAATGAGAAAATTGTTTGTGTTCTGTTGATCACAGGTTTACAGTTGAGAGAAAGAACAAGATTGAATCAAGTGAATGGAGAAACGGAATCAACTTACATTGGAATGAAATTTTGAAACATTTTTTTCTTCTTCTTCTTTTCACCATGAGACACAAGTCCAGTTAGTTTTCAGATAACATTTCGTTTCCTTTTGTTGAACGTTTGTTCAATACCTTTTGCCGGTTCAGCGGTATCCTTGGTAACCAATGCTGGATGCTGATGATAACAAATGGCGAGTTTCATTTTTTTGAGACTTTTTTTTGTACTTTTTGAAAACGAGTTAAATGAGACAAAATTGAATGAAATGAGAAATGAAAAGACGAACTTGAAATGTTCAAAGGACAAAAAACATTGAAAAAGCTTAAACTAGCTCATAGTAACCATCTCAAGTCTGGTTGATGATTGGAAAGAAGAAAGATTTTGTAAGAGAGTTAAAGAGAGAAGATGAAGAAGAGAGAGAAAAGTGAGAAAGTGAGTAAGAGAGAGAGAAACATTTTTCTTGGTTAAACAAGGCAAGTTGACTGTGAATCTCACATAGGCCGTTATGTATGCAAAACCATGGCTCTTCAAGCTCAGGACATTAGCAATTGAAATGAGTGATAGAGTAATAGTGGGTGAAAAGGGGATGAATAAAGGATGAAGTTGCCATTATTATTCCCTCTCTCTTGCTCTCTCTCTTCTCATCATCATTATCATCTTTTACACAAACCTGATGAGACAAAAAAAGAAAATTTTGTCCAAAATTTAGTCTCGACTTTGACTTTGCAAAATTGATCCTCCTTGATATCATCACCATCTTCATTATCATCATTCATCTTCTCCTCATCTTTTTTTCCCTTCTTCAAGTTAATGATATTCAAAAAGGGAAAACAATCAAGAGTTTCCTGATTTATCGATTCAAATACATAACCATGGAAACTTGAACTAAAAGAGTTTCAAGTTGCAGATTTGAAACAAGATTAATAACAAGATAATTTCATTAATAACTAAAGATAATGTAAAGATGATGAAGAGAAAATTTCATCTCTTTCATTTGATTAAAGAACACCTTTTTTTCCATGAGGATGAGGAAAATTCTGGCAACATTGATTGAGTAAAAAAAAGTAGAGTAAAAGAGCAAAATCTTGGCGGAAAAGAAGAGAAATGTTGAAGTTGAAAAAAAGAGGAAACGAAGCGTTCAATGAAAAAGTAATGGAATAAGAAGATAAAATGAAAAGAAGAAACAAGGATGATGAGAGCGTGTTATGATAAAAAAAGTTAAATTCTTGAATCGTGAGACGAATTTAAGTGTATAGAGTTTACATTGAAAAAGGGCAAAGAGAAACTCATTGAAATTCTGAGCTCATCCTTTTCTTCTCGTACGAACACTTTTAGAATAAATAACTAGATGAAGAGAGAGGGAGAGAAGGTCATGGTACCTAGAGGAAGATGGGAAGATGAGGAAGAAATGAAAACGTGGTCCCATTGAAAATTGTACCAAAAGGACTTTTCTTTTTTTCTCTTTTTTTTCATTTTCGCATTTTGTCTATGGATGTGAAAAGTTTTCAACCAAATCTTATTGCATCTTTTCCTTTTCCTTTTTCCTCTTTCATCATTTTCCAACCGCCATCCTTGATTCACCATCTTTTCATGCTAACATCATTTTCCTCTTTTTTTTTTACTCTTTTTCAATTTCTTTTTTCTTCTTGACGTTTCTTCCTTTGCTTTTCATCTCTGAATTTTCTGAACCAGGAAACGTTCCATTGGCAGTCAATTCATCACAAACTCCGCCTTTTAATCCTCTTTTTTCCCTCATCTTGCCATCTTTCATTTTTGCCCTTTCATCTTCATCTTCGTCTTTATCATCAACTCATCTAATTTTCCTTTTTTTATCCTTTCTTTTCTTCTTCTTCTTTCCCTTATGATGATCATCTTTTTTCATTGCCATCCTTTGTCATTCTGGTGCTAAACTTTTCTCCTTTTTTTTACCTTTTCATCCCTTTCCCTCGTCAAAACTTAACCTTTTGTTTGCATTTCATTTTCAATCCTCTTATTCAAACCCATGAAACCCTGTAAGCTTGCTATTTCAACATTTTCATCCATTTACAATGGGAACACAAATTGTATAATAGAGAGTGAAAAAAACTCAAATTACCAGGTTAACATGCTAATTTGCTTCTCCTTGCTAAATATTATTCAAGTAAAATTTTATTACAATCAAATCAACTCTGTTAACCAGTTTATTAATGGTAAACTTTTGCTCAGTGAGTTTTAGTTTTACCATTGTGATAATGATTAACCGATGAGCTATCGTCGACTTTGAGCCAATCAATATAATCGCTTTAAGTTTTTTTTTCATTTCTAAAACCTTATCAGGCATCAAGACCTTTGCTCATCAATTTCAACCTTTTTTAAACCATTTGAGTGACAAAGTATTTTTAATATTTTCAAACATTGGACCATGCTCGATCCAAAAAGGGTTGCAGTATACTGACATCATCGAGAATATTTGACATTTCGAGCAAACTAATATTTTCGCAGTTTTTAATCAATCAATTTCTTGTTACGATAACAATGAAAGGCTTACGCAAAAATTGAAACTTTGACAGGATAACGAAACTTGACCAAGATAAGATTATTTGACTTCAAAAATTATGATATGGCCTTAGTTTAATATCGTTAGAAGCAATTTCCACAAGATGATCTTGGATGACCTTGACCTTGAAATATAGCAAATAAGTATTCGCGAAATTTTCAGAAATTTTTTTGCTAGTCTCTAGGTTTTTACGCGACGAGTAATAGACGTTTACCATCGGTAAAATTAGCTTTAGAAATTAGCTTTAAAAATTTTCCTTAGAACCCGCTATGGCCACAATTTGATGCTTTGACTTGACATATTGCACATGGAAAGTTCAACAAACGACCCGATTACAACTATTGACTCTTGAGTTGATGTTTAACCTTGAAATTTAAACATTAATCTCACCTTTTCTGAAGGCTTACCTAAACTTAATGGAAATGCAAAAGACTAGAGAAAAGGAAACCAAATCTAGGTTTGTTTCTCATCAAAGGTTCATTATCCTGGTCATGAATCTAAATGTAACAATAATGCAAAACAGTCTAATGAAGCAAAATTAAAATTTGCAAACCAGCAATTGGATAATATTTAAATGAGAAATGAAAGTAAAAATACAAACTGAGCAAAGGTAAAAAAGTAGGTGAAATTAAAAATATAAATCTTAGACTTTACTGCTTTACATTTTTCCTAAAACTTTGACAGGAAAAAAAAAATGTTAACTGATGAAATTGTATTTCAATGTCAATGTTACAAATGCTTGTTTAATTATTTTTTAATATAAATATACATTTCAAGATTCAATTATTATTACATTTTTCTCTCTTTACCATTGCCTTCTGTTGCCGATATAATGTTATTAATTTGTTACCATTATGATTACTAATATTATTAACCCGATGCAATACAAGGAAAAAAGAGCGAGAGAGAGAACGAAATGCAGAGAGAAACATTTTGTCCAAAGTAAAATGTTGTCAACAAATATGATCATTATTGCTGTGAAAAGCATGAAACCAAAGCAGTCGTAAGTTGATTGTAACTACAACACAAGCAACAGCAGTTGAGGGGACCAACAGTTGAACCTCAGCCTTGTCTCTGTCTTGTTGCTGGCTTGCCTTGTTACTCTTCACTACTTACTCTGTGTGGTGGTCTTGAAGGTGATGGTGTTAACTGACTCAAAGGCTGTTGCGGTTCCTAATCACAAATCTGATTTGAATTGTTGTTAACTATGCAACCGTAAATAACCTTATTCACCATGGCTACATTTTGGCCCAAGTCAAAAGCTAAAATGAAAATGGAAAGATATTCAAAGTGCGCTGCAAAAGGAAGACAATTGTTAATACAAAATTGCAATCTTCTAATAATGTGGTTCCTTTTTTTGCTCGACTCCAGCTTATTGATAATTTTTCCTCTTCTTTCTTCTTCTTCTTTCTCATCTTTCTCATCATCATCTTTCATCTTCCCTTTTTTTTGTCCATTGATACACTTCTACATATAGCACTATTAGGTGAACTATGGATTAAATTATTAACTTAATCCGTTGTGGGCTACAACATTATAAGTTTACCGATTACTAGGCAAAAGTAAAATTATACTTTGGTGATCATCATCATCATGTGTATGATCAAGCAGAATAGCAAAATAGAAGGAATTTTGTCCACAGAAAAGAAAGAGAGAGAAAAAAATTGTTCTAATCACAATAAAAGTAATAACAAATAAGCCATATTATTATGGATTTGTGAATCTGTTTTCTCGTTCCTTTGACCACAAAATATTGTACATTATCTAAACCTCAACACACGTTACATGGAAAGCCAAATGTGAAAGAGGATTAACGCCACATTGCAACAACTATTTAAAAATTAGATAATCATTTTTGTGTAAAAATATTAATATAAAAAATAAACTTTTCACATCTCGCCCAATTCATTACAATGATAATTGAAACACTTTCTGATTTGCACACAGAAAAAAAGACCGATTCATTAAACCATTTAAACCAGATGAACATATTTTATTATTCCGACTGCAATGGATCAGCGAAAATTTCAATATCTTATGAATATGAAAAAAGCAACAGAAATTTCCTTATCCATTATAAAGCGGATAGAGCACCTAAAAAACCAACAAAATATTAAATCTAAAAGCTCATCCTACAATAGAATCCTTGGTTCTGTTAAAAGCAAAAAAAAATTTACCACACTTTTGGTGCTTTTTACAAGTCGATGACACAAACACTGTTCAAGATTTGCACAGATTTGGAAATCTTGTATCCGCCTTCAGTTGTGAGTTATCGATTGGTATCAATCAAATAGTCGTAAAATGGTAGCGATTTCAGGAAATGAACTTCGAGTCTTAGTCAAAGGTCAATTATGCGAGTGGTCATCGAATACATCGATACAGATCACATCAATTATCAGAAGTTGAAATCGCTTTCGATTAAAAGCAATTTTCTTGATTCGTCTTAACGATCAATTGATCGATTTCCATTGACCATTACTTGTTGATTGTTTGAAAGCATTTTACGTTTCCTTCACCTTTTATCGATGTCAAATATCCTTACAATTCAGGTCAAATTGAAGATTACAAATTTTATTACACACTTTTGAACTTGTTCAATATTCAAATGTGTTAACGATTCTGTGCTCTGAATACACAATGTTAACTATCTTTGATTCAATTCTGGTTTAAGGCTAGGTTCTGCTTTTGTGTCTGTTGAACACTTTATTGAACCAATTTTCTCACTCCCAGTTTACACTTTTATATATATATTTATGTATCTATATAAAGTTTAAATAACAGAGAAGCACAGAGAAGAGAAGAAAGGAGAATCTTTTTTTTCTGGTAAATTTA